ATTCCTGCCGATTGCCGTTTCACCACCTCCGTGGTCCTGAGGCATCGTTATTTATTTATTTAAAAAAAAAACCACCCCCACTTTCCCCCCACCCCAGCATGGTCAGGGACAGGCGCTGGGGCAGAAACCAGCATTTCAGCAGGCTGATCACTTCCAGGCTCTCCAGCTTCTCCCTGCGGTGCTGCCTGAGGTGGTAGGAACAGGCTGAAGGTCTCCACATGAAGCCAGAGTGAGATTATGTGTACCAAGAGGAGGAAGAGGAAGATGTGCCTCTCCAGAGAGCTCCCAGCAGCCACAATGGGTCAGCAAGCGCTGGTGCCCGTGTTACCTGCATGGATGCAGCTTTACCTGCACGTCTGCCCCATGGTTCCTCGCCTCATGGTGTCTGCCCAGGCTGTTTGGGTGGCAGCTGGACACTTCCAGGTGAACTTTTGAGTTCGAGCTTTATGAAACCTGAGAGTGAGTGCAGGTTAGGCCCAGCCCCATGGCACAGGCAGTGGGATGCACAGGTCCTTCCCTGAGCCTGTCTCTGCACAGGCGGCTTCCAGGTGCCCCCGTTCAGTCTTGGACAGATGGAGCAGGACTCAGCAGGGATATTGCCACTTCCAGGCTCAAAAGTGAGTCCTGTCCTCACAGCTCAGGAGTCTGCCTGGGAGCTGAGCCTTGTCTGCTCTCTTGTCAGCCTTGTTTCTCAGCTTGTGTAGCTCACGTGGTTTGTTTTTGTTTTTATTCTTTCACCATGAGAACTCGAGAGGCACTTGGTTGTTTTTTCAAGTGAAAGCCAAGATTTCCCATACTCGAGTGACTTCAAGAGCTGGGGCTTTCAGAAGACCAGTGAGTATGAAACTCCTGATGAGCCTGCAGAAGCTGGCGATGCCAGATCGATTCTGGTGTAATTGCCCCATCTGAGACCACCCATCACCTTCCTTGCCTGCAATGATCAAGCAGCTATGATAATATATTACAAAGTCACGTTAGAAAATATTTGGGATATTGGATAATAAAATGTTGCAGGTAGGGGAAGATTGGTGTTTGCAGCTCCTGCTCCCCTCATCCCCTTCATCCTTCACAGGGATGGGAGCACTATGGGGATGGGCTTGGAAAGCTCAGCTCTTTAGGAGCAAAATAACAATATTTCCACAGCAATGAAGGAGTGGGAAGGAGCTTCAGAGCTCTGCTCTTGCGTCTACCTAGAAACCTGAGGGTCTAGGCCAACCTGCAAATATAAATGACATTTTAGTCTTAATTTGCTTTGTCCTTGGAAACCTGGAGGAGAGCAGGGAGAGGAACAGCGATTGGTTTTGTTTGTTTACCCTGGGTGGGGAAGGGAAATACTTTTAGGGGGAGGTGCTGGACCTAAGCACAAGAGAGGAGCCTGCCCACTCTTCCCTAACGAGTCTTACTACGGCTAGAAGAACACAGTGAAATGTTGCCTGTTACTTAAATCTTAATTGTGGGACTGTCGTTTCCTAAAGTCCAAAATATTTTGGCACTTGTCTTGATAAAGGCATATTTTTTTTTCCTTTTATTAGCAGAAACCATCTGCCCTATAAACAGAGATCAGGAGGAAAAAAAGCCTTCCTGGCAGTGTTGCATAGAGTGGGAATCCTGCGGTGCACTGCATGGGAAAGGGCCGGCTTTCTGCCTTTTAATCTTTAATAGTAAACTCTGAGCAGATCAGAAGCAACTAATTTAAGATGATGAATCTTGGCATCACATCTAAACTGCAGAAGGGACGTGACTGTAACTTGCTGCTGAGGTGCAGACCCCTGATTTAAGCAGTAGGGATGCTCCTGGGAATGAGTGAGCATGGAGTGGGGGCAGAGAGAGGTTAGAGAGTTAGGGAGGGGATGGCAAAACGCCAAAGACAGTTTGCAGTGCCATAAAAATAAGCTGTAGGTTTGAGAGAGAGCCCAGTGAAGAGCCTGGCCAGTGAAGCATCGTTTGGTTGACATCGATCAGTGATGTTGATCGATCTGTGGTTTGAGATCCTGTTAATCCAGCTGCCTGTTACCATTTCATCAGGTTTATTTAAAATATTACCAGTTGTTGCAGTGTCACCTATGAGAGTGCACACGTCCTGATCTCATCCAGTGTTAGTTTAACTTCCATTTTAGAGTTATCTCCAGCATGGGAGGAGAACCAGACTAGATAGGAAACCAGTTTGCTGTCGAAATTTAAGGTGTCAAGAGGCAGTATGCACCCCTCCTCCTCTTTTGTGGCTCTCTATTCCGTTCCTGCTTTTATTTTTAACGTCACTGGCGTGTACGTGAGTGTATGTGTGAGCCTCTGTGTACATATTAATAAAACCAAGCACATGTCCACTGAAGTTCCTGACTTTAACATGGAATATTATAGAATTTGTATGCCTGGCCGAAAACTTTATTGTAAGCAATTCATTGTAACTTAATGCGTCTCACGCTTTAGCCTGAGCCAGCCAGTCAGGATATTCCTTTTTCCTTTTTCATTAAAAAGGAAGGATTTCGACTGTGAAAGTATTCCTAGGTAGAACGTGGTTTCTTTCATTAGAAAGCACAGCCAAACTTTGCTTGACCAAAAAAGCAAACCAGCTTTATCAGCAGGGTATCTTCAACAAACACGAATTGAAAGGACTGTAAGATGGCAGCAGATTTCTAGCATGAGATAATGCTTGTCCAGATGTGCAGTCTGGGCTGGTTTGATGTCCAGTGGTCATGTATTATGCTGAAGGGTGTCTGAAGAAGAAATGACTGGGGAGAGCGAGTTGCTGGGAGGGAAAAGCCAGCAGTAAGCAGCCTTAACTTTCAGTAGTTAGGGCTGAAGTAACTCATTGCCGCTAGCGGGCAATTTTGCAAACTTTCCAGTAAGATGCAAATGAACATTACTACAGAGCTTGTGTATCTGAGGAATGTCCCTGTGTGGCATTAAAGATCTGTCTGTGCTTGAGTGCGGGTTTTCATGTTAATTGTGAACTCGTCTCTGCTTCTCAGGAGAGAAACCTGGACTGGTTCCCCCGGATGCGGGCCATGTCGCTGGTGAGCAGCGACTCGGAAGGAGAGCAGAATGAGCTGAGGAACTTGCAGGAGAAGTTGGAGTCCACCATGAAGCTTGTGACCAACCTCTCTGGCCAGCTCTCAGAGCTTAAGGATCAGGTAAGGGAGAAAGGGCTGCGAACGTGCAGCCACACGCTGCTGCAGGCAGGACAAAGGTCCTGTACAAGTCTCCTGTACAAAGTGGTGTTTTACAGCTCTACAGCTTCTGCAAAGCCCAGACAGAACTTTCCTAAATTAGCTCGTGTTTAGGAAAAAAGTGAACAAACAAAATGTCCTTCCAAAGCCCCATACCCCAGCTGACCCGCCTGGCAGTGCTAACAGACAAGGAGCCACCTCCAGAAAGGGAGAACTTGTATTAAAAAAATCAGAGCTGAAGTTGACTTCAGTCAGTCCTCGCTGGTGCAGAGCTGGATGTACGTATTGTTGTTGTTGTGTATACATCTTAACCCTAAGACCTCAGCACAATCCTGTAAGTCAGAGAGTGTGGTATCAACAGAAGTGCTGCTGTGTGGACCTCAAAACCCACCGAGAAACTGGAGAAATACTTGAGTGGTTAGCTTGCACGGGTCTCCGTGCTATCGCTGTGATGCTAACGCAGATATCATTTGGCTGCTGTCATGCTTTAGACTGCAGCACAGACAGGCATACCCACAGCAGCATTTTGCATTGCGGCATGTATTGCTGCTGCTTAACACGTGAACGGTGCGTCGACCTCTGAGCATTTTTTGGGTGCAGCAGGAGTTTGAGGACTTGTGTTGACTTTTGGCTCAGTTGGGGCTCGAGGGGGTTGTTCCTGGGCCAAACTCAGCGATGGCTTTGTGAAAGCCACAGAGGCGGCAAGGCTTTATTTCACTCTGTCCGTATGGTTTACAGCCTAACTGGAGGTAAAAGGGAAAATGCTGCTGCCTGGCCACGCAGGAGCTGTCTGTGATGGCAAAGTGACTGGCTGCTTATCTTTATGGATTAATAACCTGAGCCAGATGGTTCAGTTAGTTAAGTTTATATACATAGCGGCACTGGATTAAAATTAATTGCTGATTGGCACACGATGGTAGCCCGGGGCAGTTGATGGAATTGCCCAGGGCAGAAACGACCAACAGATTGGGTTCGTTGTCTCTTCAGATGCGAGCTGCTGGCCGCAGCACAGCTGGCACAGCTCTCCAATGCTGATCTGATTCCTGCTTCCCACCTCTGCTCTGGGTTGGCCGGGTTTCTCTGTAAGCCAGTTATCTTCATAGAGACATGAGTCCCTGGAAGCCAGTATTGACTGAGATCCCAGCTCCCTGCCACACTCTTGTGTTTCTGATGGAGCTGGGCCCTTTTACCCGACACCCCACAAAGCACAGGAAGGGATTAAGGTGTAGGATTGGGAGCAGAAACCCTTGCTGCTCTTAGCTGTAATTAGTTTTCAGACGCTGTGCTGTGGACTTGGTTGCTCTAGTTGGTTTTGAGGATGGAGAAAAGAGGTATTTGCTCTTTTGTCTGCACTTTCATACTTGCCGGGTAGTGGTTTTGCTGTTTTGCCTGGAAACAATTATCTTGAAACATGTGTCTTGCGTCTCCTCATTGAAGGGTCTGACTCCAAATGGTCTGCAGTCACCAGGAGTCTTTCCACTGGCCGCAGCCAGCTCTGGATCAGAGTGCATTTATTCCTGAAGCTTGCAGCTCTTGGCTGACCAAGCACTAAAACCCCTTCTCGCTCTTTGTGAAAATAAGAATGAAGGATTTAGCTTTTAGAGAGCTATTTGACTGTAAAAGCAAAAGAGAAAACCAGCTTCATTAATGTTGTGATAGCTTTTAGGAATTCCCCTAAGCACCGTTATTGAGAGCCCTGCTTAAGTTGCAGGATGCGCCAATTATGTGAGAAAACCAGTATATCCCTCCTCCTGATCAGGAACTGTCTCCAGGAAAAGGAACTAACTCAGGGAACTTTTATTTGTATTTATTTTCTTGTAATTAAATAAAGGGAGATTCTCTCATTCATTTGCTTTTCAAGCTCATTAGGGTTCTGGAGACTGTAATTGTTAGAAACTGAAATCCAGTTCACAAAGAAGTGCACCAAGAGCCATTAAAATCTCAATCACTTGAATTCTGCGTGGAAAGATTACAACATAACCGTCTGCAGCAGCAGGGGATGAGATGTCATCATCCCCGAGTCCTTTCCAGCGCTGTCCTCCCATGTCAGGAAGCGTGAGGCATCCCTAATGGATGTTGGCTTCTAGCAGAGGTTGGTGTACAGCCATGTGTGCAGTCAGCGTACGTGGCGGTGTGTCCACGGCCGTGTGTATGCATGTACAGTTGGTGTCTGCGGCCGTGCGTGTGCGCGTGTGCGGTTGGCGCCCTGTTCCTGTGCTTCACACATGCCCCGCTCCCTTCCCAGAGTAACCTCCACAACCTTTGGAACCAGGCAGCCTGCGTCTGTGTGGTTACACACGGTTATCAGGCCGTCCAGCTTGACTCGGAGGAACTTCAGGCCCCTTGCTTTCTTGTTTTACTCCTGTCAGCACTACTGCAGTAGCTGACAGCTCCCCTGCCATACGCTGTACGTAGCTGTTACTGCCTGTTGGGCCCAGGTGTACAGTCGCTGCAGCTGTGAAGCTTTTGCAAGATTCACTCTCCAGGTAAACATGATAGAGATTGGAGTTGCTCCCTTTTGCAGCCCTGTGCCCTCTAAAATGTTACGCATCTTGCAGGATTAATAACATTCTGCATCAACATTGCAATTGCATTTCTCTCTCTGCTTTGCGCTCGGTTACTTTAGTCTTCCCTTTTTTTAAAGACAGCTATTTTACATACACCTTCATCAAGGTGCAGCATCCCTTTTTCTACACAGCATGAAAAATATGTTCTAGTCCCTTTTCATTTTTCTTTCCATTTTTATTTCACATGCCCTCTGAATCGGTTCCTTGGCTGCGGGAAATCGTGGCTCTCAGTTTGCTCAGCATTTTAAAGTGAAGTCCTCATCGCTTCTTTGCATTTCCAACTTGTGGGTTATGTCAGAAACAGTTAAGGGAAGTGCCAGCTG